CCAAAAATAAACCGCTCACGCTGACCAGATTCTGTAAAAAATGAAAAATTTCTCGCTCCTCGACACAACTGAGCAGCCATGAGTGACTCAGCTGTGACCAACAGTCTGGTGGCAAAAATTCAGAGAGTTTCCAGGTTGAAGTGCAGGCAGCGTTTCCCCAGAGCAGAGAGGAGAACCAGACCTACTGGGTCAATACAAGAGACGCAGCACGGCTCACAAACAACAAAGTTTTGGCTGTTTTGTGTCTCGTTTGGGTCATTTTGTTTATTTATTTAACTGTGTTTGTGTCATTTATGTTACTTCACGTCTTTTTGTGACCGTTTTGTCTCCTTTCTGTCGTCTGGTGTCCTGTTTTTATCATGTTGTGTATTTTTTTTGTCATTTTGTCTCTTGTTCATGTGAGTTTGCATTTTGTTGTTGTTGTTTTGTGTTTTCTCTATGTGATTGTGTCTCATTTTTGTCATTTTGAATCTCATTTGTGTTGTTTTGTGTCTCTTTGGGACAGTTTCATGTCCGTTCTGTCATTTTGTGTCTTGTTTTTGTCACGTTGTGGCACATTTTTCTTTCTTCATTTGTGTTGTTTTGTCACATTTTTATCGTTTTGTATCTTGTTATAATTTTGTGTCTCAGTTTTGTAGTTTTGTGTCTCTTTTCTCTTTTGTTTTTTGTCACCATTTTTACTCCAGTGCTGGTAGCAGCTGTGGGAACTTTGTTTTAAATGTTAATGCGAATAATCGAAGAAATTCCACTTGTTTTAGCTGTTTTTGTCGTTTCTTTTCTGATTTCTGTCCTTCCAGCTGCGTCTTTCTGCACATTTCTGAGTTCTCTCCGGTTCTGTTTCCAGAGACTTGCTGCTGCTGCAGTGACCAACGAGCCCACAGTGGGTGGAGGTCGGGCTCGAGGCTCACCTGGTCTGGGCCTCGGTGAAGACGTTGTTGTGGATGTGGATCATGAGGTCTCCTCCCGGTAAATACTCCATGACGAAGCAGACGTGGTCGCCGGTCTGGAAGCAGCCGTGAAGGTTGACCAGGAACGGGTGTCTGGAGGCGTTGATCATCTCGAAGATCCGCTTCTCGCTCATCAGGCTGCAGAACAACGACCGACATTAACACAGAAGAAGCAAACCTCTGCTCTTTCTGCATGTTGAAGTTCCACAAACTTCTTCACCAAAGTTAGATGTTCTCTTTAAAACCCTGCTTTTTTTTTTTGCATAATTCCTTCCATTTTACAACCAAACATTGTAAAAGAACCATCAACCATTAATAATCACATAGATATTTACTAGTTATTGTCTGTCATTTAATAAAAAACAGTAAGACGTTCCAACAATTAGAGGTAAAACGTGTTAAAAATGTAAATTTTTTTTACAAATAAAGGCTGCAGAACGGCAAAATGAGCCCAATTTGATGCAAAATATCCAAAATAAAACATTACGATGCTTCCTGAAGGCTCCTGAGATCTGAGATTGTTATTTATGTTGAAAATCTGCAAATTCACGGCACTGATTAAACATTTAAAAAGCAGGAAATGTTGTAGTTTAGAGGTGACGGTTAATGTTGAACATATAAATGCAGCAAATTATGTTAAAGTCTAGTGTTAAACAATGAAACTCATATTAATTATTCATAGTTAAGAGTTGCCAGAAGTTTACTGTAGGTTTATTTTTCTACCTGCACA